TAATCTTGGGAAGGCAAGGATAGAAGCCTGACTCCAGTAATTGAAGGGGACCTTGTAATGGCTCCGGACCCTATGTTGTTGTCCAGTGAGGCATGATGGCCATACCCATACCAATATCTTTTTTCCTGGAGAGGGGATATTTTTGACATCAACCCCTATGCAGTCAGGCTTGTCTCTCAAGGAACCCAAAGAGATATTTTTAACTTTTATTTATAGTCCCTTGTGTTGCTTAGCCTTGTAGCCTAAGCAAGAATTCAGATCACCAGTCAGAGGGGTTCTGGGTGGCTCCTCTCTGTTTGGTCTATGGGCAGAAGTCCCCTCTTTTAGGTGGGGTAGAGATGGAGTTTGGGAGCACCCTGGATAGAGTAACAACCTCATCTTGAGTCTCCTGGTCCTCCATAGTTAACTTATGACAATGTATCTCAATAGGTTTTGCTACCAAGTTATTGATCTGTTGTTTCACAGAATTAGTCAGCCTACTTAAGGCCCAGGGACCAAAAGAAATAAGCAAAAATAACTCAATTAATGATCCCAAGATGGGAGGGAGTAGGGTTGACAACCATGGAGAGGTTGAAAACCAATTCTTGTACCAGCTCTCATCTTTCTCTTTCTCTCTCTGTCTTTTCTCAGGACCTTCTTTGATCCTTTTCATGCTCTCTTTAACCACCCCTGTCTTGTCTATGTAAAAGCAACATTCTTCTTTAAGGGCTGTACACAGTGAAGAGCTGTACACAGTCCTTTCTATTGTAAAAGAGTAAATCAATTCCAATAAAGTTCTTTGCAATTTGGGGGGTTCTCTTCAGACAGCGAAACAAGGGATTTCTTCAAATTAGTGATGTCAATCTCTAGCTGCTTGATGTCCTTGTCAATGGCCCATCGAAGGTCTTAGTAGTATAAGTTTGGAGGCCAGTATCTGGATTAGAACTTCTAACAGCAGACATCACAGGTAATTCATTTTTACCTGAGATATTGCCCAGGCTAGAGCTCCTGAGAGGACCTCTTCTTCTGGGTTTTGTGAGGTTGGGTACCTCAACCTTTCTCATTACATAAATGTGAATCAATGATTTGATTCTTCTGATCTAGAGCCAGTAATGAATACAATGCCAAAAATAGAAAGAAATAAGGAAAGAAAGAAAGAAAGAAAGAAAGAAAGAAAGAAAGAAAGAAAGAAAGAGGGAGGGAGAGAGGGAGAGAGAGAGAGTGAGAGAGAGAGAGAGAGAGAGAGAGAGAGAGGAAGAGAGGAAGAGAGAAAGAGAGAGAAAGAGAAAGAGAGAAAGAGAGAAAGAGAGAAAGAAGCTAGACATCTGTCTTGGTACCTACTACTCATTTGTCTCTGACTCCAGGCTCTGGAGATAAATTTCCAGTAACTCTAACTGAATGATCCATCCCCAACTCAGAAATACACACCTATGACCATGTATTTGTTATGTAATGACTTGTTATGTTTTTGTCTTCTGTAACCTGCTTATAAAGGCATTCAGATCATCTTGACTACATAATCTTGGGAGACCAAAACAGTTCTTAGCTTGCTTATGCAGAGCCTCAAGATATTCTTGTGGTTTTTATCTTTAAAAATCCTTCTCTCACCACCACCCCTCCTCTTGGAAAAATCAAGATTTGCTCAGAGAGTGATATCCTGCTAAAAGTAATCAATGAATCTTTGAATTGTAATCAGATTGATTCTATGGTCTTCTCTCAGGAGTCAAGAACTATATAACAATGACTCTCATTTACTTAACTTGATTGTAGTTCACAGACTCTCTAGCCAATCATAGTCATTTGATTACAAATGGTCCTCATAGGCTCATAAGAAGTGGAAATGTGACCTTGTTGAAGAAAGTATGTCACTATGGGTAGGCTTTGAGGTTTCACATGCTCAAGCCAGGCCTAGGAATTCTCTTTCTGATGCCTGCCGATCTAGATGAAGAAATTTTAGCTCCTTCTCCAGTACCATGTCTCCCTGCATGCCTCCATTTTTCCTCTCATGATGATAATAGACTCAGACTCTTAACGTGTTTAGACACTGATGATGACTGATAACTATCCACTAAAAATAACCATTTTAGGAATCAGCACACTGTGTCTTCACTAAGGGGACAGACGCCCCACCTTGGCAATCATTTAGATATCTAAAACCAATAAATGAGGGACTCCATTTCTTCCTCTTCTATAAAAGTCACTACTTATTATTAATTTGTTTTTAATTATACATCTTGGTGAAAATGTTCTCTAATCATGTATATTTGTACTAAGGAAAAGAACAAAGACATAAATTAGAATAAAAGACCGATGTATAGGCCTTTGTTCTTCCTGCTTTCTCTCACTGTGGCAAGGACATAACCACTTGTGATCTTGTAAACATGTGTGGTTCCCTTTTTAGTGAACTGAACTAGGCTAACCAACCCATATGATAGTGTGGCAGAAATGTCCCTGTCCAATATTTTTAAATACTAGTGCATCAGGAGGCCTGTGATTAGACAGGGAAAAGGGAGGTGATGCTAAGAGGGGGGAGTGAGAGAGACTCAGGAAGGAGAGAAGGGGGAGCAAAAACGGAAGCAGACTTAAACTAGTGTGGCCATTAACCAGATATGAGTAGATATGAAACCAAAAGATTAGGATAAATGGGATAGATTGTCTAATCTGCGTTGGCATCTTATCATTATCAATTGGCCTTAAAATTACTGTGAAGGTATCCTGGGATTTGAGTATTTGATGACATATAAATCTGGTTGGTTACCTATAAGCATTAAGAGTTTTGATTTACTGGATTACTGGGTATTGTGATATCTAACCACGAGTGTAGCAGTTATAGCCTGGAGCTAAGACCAGTGCTGTGGAGGTGGCAAGTTGGCCTAGGGGCCAGGCCTAGAGCCTTGGAGGCTGAGGGTGGCTGAGGGTAGAGGCAGTGACCATGCCAATGTCTCTGGGCTCTGGGCTTAAGAGCCTGCTGAGATGAGAACACCCAGCTGGGGCCAGGTAGCCTGCCAGTGTTGGGCATAGTGTGGGAACTTGGCAGTCCTATTTGGATGCTAGATTGTGGGACCACTCAGGCAGAGCGAGTTAGTGGCCAGGAGCAAGCTGGATGCCATCTTTTCAATACCTCCTGCTACATGATAGAACATAAGTTATCAAGTTCAATTCCACATTAAGGCAAACAGGATACAATTATTACTTCTCCTTTCCTTTCTGTTTCTTTTTCCAGTTTCAGTGATTTTGAAGATATATATTAACTTCTGCAGTGTTAGTTACATTGGATTATAGCTCATTCAGTGATAAATTACTATGAATTATGTTGAGTTTAGACATATAACTATTCTAAATGGAAAACTGATTCACTGGCAGGACACCCTGCCTCTTCCCTTCCTTCCCTCATCATCTGTCTGCTATGCCCTGATCACACACTGCTGAGAATAAAGCTCAGAATAATAACTCACTTCCTCGGACTTCAGGGACATCACAAGAAACTCCCCAAGCACTCCATTGCCTATATTTTTGGACTCTTTTCCACACTAAAAAGTGTAAGACGACCACCTTTATAAGGGTGAGTCCCAGGTACTGGGTATGTACATGTGAGCACAGGTACTTGGGAGGACAGAGGCATCAAATCAACCAGAGCTGAGGTCACAGGTAGTTGAGAGACTCTTGATGGGGGTGAGGAGAACCAAACTCAGAACCTAAGCAAGGGCAGCACATGCTCATATCTGCTGAGCCATCTCTCCACCTCCATGAAACTTTTCTTTTATAGTACACACTAACTAACTCAGGAAACTATAACAACTGGAAGAAAACTCCAGAAAGTGCTGCAATTAGGTTGTCTGCACTCTCTTTGCTGTGGTTTTGGGTTTGGATCACCCTTAATGGCCCATGTGTGAAAATCTCAGTCTTCAACAAGGTGCTATTCAATGATGGTGGGAGCATTAGAAAATGAGGCCTAGGGGGGAATCTGGGCCCATAATAATAACCCTCCGGAAGAGAGACTTGATCCATGGCCCCTTCCATCTCCTCTTCCTGCTTTCCAGCTTACTTCCTATGAGTTTCTTCTCCAATGTGCTGCACAGATATAGACCCAAAGCAGCAGGACCGTGTAACTGGAGACTTTTCACTTGTGCACCAGTTACCAAATAACAACTCTAAGAATTAATTATTTACGAATAAATGTCATGGATATAAGCTTGGACTTCTTCCTTGACCAGCTTATAACTTATATTAACCCATTTAAACTATTCTATATGTACTATACTTTTAGTTATCTCTCTTCAGTTTCATGCTTCTAACTCCACCAAGTCAGAATAAGGAATCTTCCTTCTCTTGACTCTCTCTGCTGGATATCCCACCTTCTAATTCTCCTTCGGCTCATTGGCCATCAATTTTTTATTGACAGGTTATACCTCTACACAGTAAATGAGAGATTCTTTCTACAGGGTGAACTGATTAGGGTTTAAGACCTCTGGAAGCAAGAACAAAATAAACCTTTTCCTCCTTGGAAATAGATTGGTTATAGTTCAAGTAGCAGAAAGCTGTCAACATGAACATTTTGGCTTCCACAAGGAGCCGCTGAGATTGTACCTGTGTTCATTCTGCCCTAATCTGTAGAAATTCTCACTTTACTGTGCATAAATAGCTATGGTATCTCTCTCACTCCCTCTCTTTCCCTCCCCACCTCTCTCTGTATATATATAATATATATATATTTATCAGTATCACTCATCTTCCTTACTCATCCTCCCCATCTTTAGGGATTCATTCCATTTTTATATTATATTATATTTATATATTATATTATATTTATTATATTATTCACTTTTATTACAAACGGAAGGATGGTAAGGAACAGAAGAGAATATAGAATATCTGACAATGATACTATCTTGAGCCACAACTCTAAATCCCGAACAAGGGTTCTGTTCCTTAAAAATCACTTTATTCTTTGTCAAACCCAATATAAGATGACTTCTGTATCAGTCACTTTTCACTGCTGTGATAAAACACCACAAAGCCACTTTTAAAATAACAAGAGTTTATTTTGGCTTATGATTCCAGAAGGACTGTAGTCCCTCATGGCATGAGGCATGACACCATGCAGCAGGTATAGTGACTGAAGTAGGAAGCTAAGATTTCATATCCTCAAAGAACAATCCAAAGTGCGAACTGGAAGTAGGGTGAGAATTTTAAATCTCAAAGCTCATCCCAGTGATGTATTTCCTCCTTCAAGGATGCACTCACCCAATCCTCCCCAAACAGCATTATCAACAGGAAACTAAATATCCTATTGCCCCATTGCCCTAGCTGAGAAGGGGCACTTTGTATTCCAACCATGACAAACTGACTTAATTTTGTTTTGTTCTTTTTACAAATATTTTAAATTCTATAAAAACAAATTTCCTTTCAGCAAGAGTCACTGCTTAAATCTCTCTCTCTCTCTCTCTCTCTCTCTCTCTCTCTCTCTCTCTCTCTCTCAAAATGTAGGGTGGAGTAGGACACATACACCATAGTACAGGATTAGAAGGCATAAAACATCTTGTAAGAGTTTGTTCCTTTCTTCTACCATGTTAGTCTCAGCAATCAAAGCCACCTTGTCAAGCTTGGTGGCAAATATCCCTTTCCATTGAACTACCTGCCTGGTCTCACTTTAAAGGTTTTAGTCTGATTTTGAAAGTTAATAGCCATGCTATTTTTATTCATGCTATAGCTTAATTTTAATTATAAATTTATAATATATTATAAGGTTATAGTTATACTTTTAAACATGATATTTTATTCATGTGCTCTGAGAACACATGAAAAAAAAAAAGATGACTGAACCAAAGAGGCATCCTGAGGATAAGAAAGTAACCTTTGAGAACATCTTATACTGGATCCAGCCCTAACTTATTTTATTTTAGTTTAGTTTATCTTATATTGTCAGTAGTTTACTCTATCTTTTGGTTCAGTGCAGGGCTTCACACATAATAGACAAACATAGTACCTCTGAGATACAACTCCATGCTTACAAAGGACCTTTGAAAGTACTGGCTTTCTCAAATAGTTGCTTTTTTTAAAAAAAAAAAATTTTTTTCATTAACGGTTTTGAATTGCTATGGAAAAAACAGGTCAAAAAATCTTTGCAATGTGATTTTTAATAACCTGATTAAGTCTGTCAGTGCTCTAAACAAAATGATCAACTGTGTGAGAGGAGTAAAGAAAGAAGGCACTAAAACCAGGAGATGACACATGAGGGAGAAGTCTAATCTTAGAAACATCATGACTAAAATAATAAAAGTTTGACAACTCCTAGGTACAGACATATGCAGACAGCTTGAACATAAAAGATAACTTTCTCAATGTGGCACAACCAGAATGCATGTTTTCAGCTCTAAATACCTCTAACATTGAAGCACAAATTCAGTGGAATTAAATACTGTTTTGAGAGTAGTAAAGTTTCAAATCTATTTGAAGACGTGTGGGAAGCACACACTTCCCTTGATTGAGTTAAAAGAGAAAATGTTATGTGAAAATGAAGGAAGCTTTAAAGTTCAGTGTGTGCATCACCATAGACATCTGAGAAAATCTTAAGTGGTACCCTAATATTCTGAAAATGCTATCAGCAATTATTTTTATCATGAGTAAAAATAATTGTTGAGGTCCTTAAAGGTAAAATTTCCTATCGTACCTCTCATGATTCAAAACTAGTGAAATTCATTCTGTTCACGGCCTTGCATAGGCCAGTAGAAAACTCATTACAGCTTGGTTTTCAGTTCTCCATCATTCTCCACCTTAGGACTTCTGTTCACATCTGTGCACTCGCTTTCCTTCATTGTGAGCTTCATCTCTGCAAGTTCAGTTTCTGAAGATTCAAACTCCCCAGGGAATTGGAATTTCCTCATAAATATTAGAATGAAGAAGGCAGGGAGAAAGCTTGATCCTCTCAGCGCTGCAGGCAATCCAAGGTAAATGCGCCTATTGAAAAGAACTAATCTGTATTAAGTCTTAACGTGTTTAGTGAAAGCTAATTTTCTATATTCTTACAGTTCTTTTATTCTTTCAAAAACCATCCAGGGATTAATTTGCTCATGTTCTTTATATAACCTACTTTGCTTAGTTATTAATTATGTTTGTTAAAATGTCACATATTTTCCAATATAAAAGTTTAAACCTATTTTCTTCATTTGCATGATGGCTAGTTAGTTTTCATTGTTAACTTTATTAGATTTGGGGTCATTATAAAAATGCATCTCTGGGTGTGTCTATAAAAATGTTGCTTTCAGACAAGTTTAGCTGATGATGAATTTCTCCTATTAATGTGAGCACCATGCTCTAGCATTCTAACACTTGGTGCTTCATGACATGTGGCATGATTAGACCACTCAAACCACTTAAACTAAATCTCCTGTGCCATTACCTCACATTTGGCCACATTGTTTTCTCTCCCATTTTTGCCTAGTCTCTGAGTCAAAAACCCCATATCATGTTCACAGAACTCTTCTTTTCTTTTTTGTTCACACACATATAAAATGACATAAAGTCACTTTTCAAGTTTTCTTCCCTACTCATCCTTGACAGGCTGTGTTCCATCAATGCAGTTTCATGATATGTAAAGCTTTTCATGTAAAGACTAAGGTGTATTAGTCTTTTTTATATATTTATAAATTTAATTTGCTCATTTTCATACATAATTTTGCATGTGTCAGCAAAAAAGTCTGTACAAGTTTTGTGAAATGAATTGGGTAATTTTCACTTTCAGGATTTCTTACAATGACTTATATACTGTTATAACTATCTAAACTTTGTCAATTTGTTAAACATGCCTTAAGGTTTCTGGAATTAATGTGTTGGGAAGTAACTATTTTCTCATATGCATGTTTCTAAACAACTATAAATTTCTTCCTTTGTGTTCTCAACATATTTATAATAAAATCTGGAAGGAGGAATAGTGTTTTCAACTTCATACAATCTTGACTCTCCTGTAAAGAAAGTTTCAGTGAAGGTTTTTGTGGATTATGTTGTCCAGTGAACATGTCATAAGACAGTGTCTTGATTACATTAATTGAGGTGAGAACACCAAGTCCACAGTCAGTGGCACCATTCCTTAGCTAAAAATCCTGGACTCGACTACATTTGAAGAAAAATATATTCACAGCTGTATCTGCAGAGAGAAAGTGTAAGTATAGTATATATGCGTAGATTCTCAATACTTCTAACAGTTTAGAAATATAACTGATTTTTTCTAGATGAGAAATAGGTTAAGAAATATGTTGTTTTCTCCCACTGTTATAAATGACTTTGACAGGAGATAAATTATCTCACAATTCCAGGATACAGTCCACCATTGTGGGGATATCAAGGCATCTGGAACTTTAACAAACACACATACGTTGACAGTAGTTGAGTCCTTCGAGGAATGGGATTTCAGCTATCCCCAGACATACACACTTGGGACAGGACATGCCAGCACGTTTCTCTCCTACATTTTTTTAGTATAGTGTTCACTCATCTAGAAATACAGCATGAGTGAGTAATACCAAGAAAGGGATAAAAATCCTTTTGGTTGAAGAGACTTTAGGAACAAGGAGGAGTCTTTGCTAAATTGAAGTCTGTAGCAAACAAAGTTCCTCTTTTCTATTTCATGGACCTGCTGCTATAGAGAACAAGTAAAAAGAGGGAGTCTGTTTCAAAATCAGCCTAACATTATCCCTGGAGATGGGTAAGCAGTGAACCCACAGTTCTTTCACTGTAGTGTTAGTAACAGCTGCCCAAGTAGCACTCAGAGTGGTGGGAAATAGATGAGTAACCATTTTAAGTCAAAGAAGCAGCATGAAACCACACACAACTGGGTATACCCTGACCTCATGGTATACCCTGGGCTCCCTGGTCCCATGGTTCTTAAGGGTAATGTCTCCAGTTATTATATCATCCCCCTTGTGACACTCTCAGCAGACTTGTAGCATTATTTCTTTACTGAGCCAAGTTGGGTTAATGAGGCTGCTAACCAATGAATACAGCAGTTTCTCAGAGATGTGACCAAGAGTGAAATGTAGATACCAGGTCCCTTTTCAAGATAGCTCCTGGCTATAGCATCTGGCACATTTTGCTAAACTGCATGCTACTACCCAGATTTGAGGTTCTCGGTGAGTGAGGCTGAAAGCATGAGAGTGTTGTGAACTTTCCAGGAGCTACAATGCCAGAATCCATGCTTCCTGGATGTGCTGGGAATCTGTTATACCAACCCCTACATAAGGGAGAAGTTCTTCTTCTCTGTACCTAGATATGGATTGATAAGAAAAGAAAATATTTTGTTCCCCCTATAGCACCCTTGTCCTAGGTCTCTGAATCTTCCTTCATAGCTCCCTCCATTATTCTGCCACACTAGCTCACCTCAAGACATAGCTTTCCCCTCCCAATTCAGGGACTCTAAGCAGATAACTCCTCTCATTCTAAAATATTTTTGATGGGTTGTATTAGGAAACCTACTCATGGTTAAATAAATTAACCACTGTAGAAAGAATGGGAAAAATGTCAAATATATAGAAGGAAACTATTCTACCAATGTGCATTCTGAAAATGAACCTGAATATAATCTTATCACTCAATAAAATTTTAGATATGAATGAGGACATTTTATGCTACAAAAATAGATCTTAAATGTTATAATTACCTGAAGCTGTTTATATCATACAGCCTGCAGGCCCCTGGCTGGCCACATTTCAGAGTTCCCCAGTGTAAACAGGTTCTGTCTAACAAAGCTCCAAAGTAAATAGGTGCAGGAATGCCAGCTGCAATGAAGAGAGAAAAGATTCAAAACAAAACAGACCCCAAACAAATCAACAACCACAAAAAACAAAACAAAACAAAACAAAAAAAAACCTTGCCCATTGAAAGGAAGGAATGAGAGAGGATTGGGGGGGGGGGGAGAGGCTATTTTACTTGGAGATACTTCAATTTTCCTATTTAGAATAAAACAACACGACAAATTATGAATCAAGTGTTATAAACTTGCTTTTAGGAATTATAAGTTAGCATAAAGTTTCTAGATCACAACAAATGAAAACTGTGTACAAGATGCTTAGAAATTTCTCCATGAGTTCATCATTATGAACACCATGTATTTCCTGAAATGGCTGCATTGTGCTTTTGAATATCCAACTAACAAAAATCATTTCCTACTGAGTTTTTTATTGAATGCACTAAAGATATAAGTTAATTTAGTTCATGTAAGTTCCTTAAAGGCAAGAGAAAACAATTTTATTTCTACAACTACTTCATTCGCAGACTAATTACTAGTAGCCAGTTGCAAACACGAGGGCTTGTAAACAGAAGTTCAGGGTAATGTGGGAGGAGCACAACTACATTAAAGTTATTTCAAGATGGTGGGACTTCCTGCATGTGGATACTTGGACTTTTGCAGATTTGAAGACATATTACCTCTACCTGTTTCCTGTGTCTGCCCTTATGTCACTGTGATTATGGCATGAAGCCTTTGGGGGATATCTTGACTTAAAAGGCAGTGCAGGAAAGAGGCCTTACAGTATCTAGCCTCCACCCAGCAAAACACTAAGAATGCCAACAAATAGCATCTGAGCCTACAGCACAGAAATTCTTGCTTTTCTGTAACCAACCTATCTGACATTACTACAGATAACTTTGAGAAGTAACTTGTTCATGGATTTCTTTGTTCTCTAACTATAAACATCACAAAATAGTCCTCATATTATAACATGATATTTGAATGACCTTAATTTATGTGTTTATGTCATGGTAACTCATGATTGATTACAGACTAAAACCCTTATGCTCTTTAAGGTAAAGGTTGTGTTTGGGGTTGACAATGTGTAGTGCTTGTGCTTGACTCTAGAAATAGCACTATTAGGAGATGTGGCCTCGTTGGCATAGGTGTGACCTTGTTGGAAGAAGTAGGTCACTGTGGGAGTGGACAATGAGACCCTCCTCCTAGCTGCCCATGAAAGAGTCTTTCCTGGCTTAAGTCAGATCAACATACAGAACTCTCAGCTCCTCCAGCACCATGTCTGCCTGCTTGCTGCCTTGCTTCCTGCCATGATGATAAATGACTGAACCTCTAGAATTGTAAGGCATCCCCAGTTAAATGTATTCCTTTATAAGTGTTGTCTTGGTCATGGTGTTTGTTCACAGCAATGGAAACCCTAAGACACAGGTAAAGGATATCTTCTTATCAGAAAAAAATTAATTGGTTACTAAGCACTTAATATTGGTCAGATATGTTGGGGAAATTATTCATACCAAATATTCTTATGAAAAATGAATGTAGTCCAACTCCAAGTGACTTCTCTTCAGACTTGATGCACCTGAAAAATACATACATACATACATACATACATACATACATACATACATATGTACATACATACAAGTTCATCAGGCAAATCCATATCTGTCCTAGCATCTTCTCAATGACAGTAGTAATTCATGATTCTAATGCTTAAGATTTTCATCCTGAAGTGAGAATGTTACAGCTTTACCTTTGCTAAGCCCATACAGAAGAAAGATGGTAAGGTCGTCTATCCTCTGACCTCCACATATCTAAAGCAGGGTCAAGCCCTTTAAGAGTTAGACATTGTCTGCAAACCCAGATACACAGTTTCCTGGTTCCCATGGCATATACCATGCCATACCCATGATAATGGCCCCAAACCTTAGAAGTAAGAAACCAAATAAATCACTATCCTTTTAAGTTTTTTTGCCATGCAGTTTGTTATGTTGATAAAGCAAACTCATGCCATGTAAAAATTGGAGATATGGTAAATACAGTCCAACAAAACAGAGAAATAATCCATTATGTACATTATGACACTAAGAAAATGACTTTGTTACATGGAATTACTGACCTTAGATTTTTTTCCTGTACTGCCTAAAAATAGACCTGAGGTGCTTTGAGAACTAATACAAGATGGAGACCTATTAGGATACAAACTGAAGGACTTCCGGTCTGGGCCCGAGCATAGAGCAGGTCACAGGCCGAAGCTCCGTACCCAACCCCAGAAAACCGAGAGAAAGAGGGACTCCCAGAAGCTTTAACTCAGGCAGCATCCCAGGTAAGGAAAAAGAAGCACTTGCCCCAAACAGGGAGCAAATGGAACCCACTGGGACCCAGGAATTCGCTCCTGGCCCAGAGCAGGGACTCCATCCAGTCTGGGCCCGAGCACTCGGCAGATCCCAGGAGGCAGCTCTGCACCCAATCTCACAGAACCCAGAGGAAGTGGGGGCTCTCAGTAGCTCTAACTCAAGCAGTATCTTAGGCTAGGAGGTGGCAATACTTGCCCCCAATCAGGAGCAAATGGGACTCACTAGGATCCAGGAATCCACTCCTGACCCAGAGCCTGGGCCCCTTCCAGTTTCCACCTGAGCACGGAGCAGATCCTGGGCATCAGCTCTAACCCCAGCAGCAAAACCCATCCCAAACAGTTCTGACACAACCTAGATAATAGGAAAGACAGGTCCCAGTCAGAGACAGCACAGATAGCACAAAGGTGATCCAGACGGCAAAAGGAAAGTGCAAGAACACAAGCACCAGCAGCTCAAGGTACTTGCGATCATCAGAACCTAGTTCTCCCACATTAGAAAGTCCCGAACTCCCCATATCACCAGGAAAACAAGAACCAGATCTAAAATCACTTCTAATGATGGTGCTAGAGGACTATAAGAAGGAAATAAATAACACTATCAAAAAACTTGAGGAGAACACAGGAAAACAGGATGAAGTCCTTAAAGAAACACAAAAATCCTTTAAAGAATTACAAGAAAACACAAACAAACAGATGAAGGAATTGAACAATACCATCCAGGACATAAAAATGGAAGTAGAAACAATAAAGAAATCACAAAGGGAGATTACCTTGGAGATAGAAAACCTAAGAAAGAAATCAGGAGTCATAGACACAAGCATCACCAACAGAATACAAGAGATAGAAGAAGGAATCTCAGGTGCGGAAGACACCTTAGAAAATATTGACACAACTGTCAAAGAAAATGCAAAATGCAAAAAGTTCTTAACACAAAATATCCAGGAAATCCAGGACGCAATGAGAAGACCAAACCTAAGGATAATAGGTATAGATGAGAGTGAAGATTCCCAACTTAAAGGGCCAGTAAATATCTTCAACAAAATTATTGAGGAAAACTTCCCTAACCTAAGGAATGAGATGCCCATAATCACACAAGAAGCCTACAGAACACCAAACAGACTAGATCAAAAAAGAAATACCTCCTGTCACATAATAATCAAGACACAAAATGCACAAAACAAAGAAATAATTTTAAAAGCAGTAAGGGAAAAAGGCCAAGTAACATACAAAGGCAAACCTATCAGAATTACACCTGACTTCTCACCAGATACTATAAAAGCCAGAAGATCCTGGACAAATATCATACAGACCTTAAGAGAACATAAATGCCAGCCCAAGCTACTTTACCCAGCAAAACTCTCAATTACCATAGACGGAGAAACTAAGATATTCCATGACAAAACCCAATTTACACAGTATCTTCCCACAAATCCAGCTCTACAAAGGATAATAGCAGGAAACCTGCAATACAAGGTGGGCAATCATACCCTAGAAAGAGCAAGAAAATAACCCTTTTCCATCAAACCCAAAAGAAGATAACCACACAAACGATGTCTCCACTATTAGCAAAAATGACAGGAAGCAACAACACCCTCTCCTTAATATCTCTTAACATCAATGGACTCAATTCCCCAATAAAAAGGCATAGGCTAACGGACTGGATACGCAAACAGGACCCAGCTTTTTGCTGCTTACAGGAAACCCACCTCAGTGACAAAGACAGAGACTACCTTAGAGTAAAAGGTTGGAAAACAGTTTTTCAAGCAAATGGCCCTAAGAAACAAGTGGGAGTAGCCATTCTAATATCGAATAAAATTGACTTTCAACTTAAAGCTATCAAAAAGGATAAGGAAGGGCAATTCATACTTGTCAAAGGAGAAGTCAACCAACATGAACTCTCAATTCTGAATATCTATGCGTCAAATACAAGAGCATCGACTTTCATAAAAGAAACCTTACTAAAGCTCAAAACACACATTGCACCTCACACAATAATAGTGGGAGACTTCAACACCCCACTCTCAGCAATGGATAGATCATGGAAACAGAAACTAAGCAGAGATACAGTGAAACTAACAGAAGTTATGAACCAAATAGGCTTAACAGATATCTATAGAACATTTCACCCTAAAGCAAAAGAATATACGTTTTTCTCAGCACCTCATGGTACCTTCTCCAAAATAGACCATATAATTGGGCACAAGACAGGCCTCAACAGATATTAAAAAAATTGAAATAATTCCCTGCATCCTATCAGATCACCATGGTCTAAGGCTGGTCTTCAAAAATGACAAAGACAATGGAAAGCCCACATTCACATGGAAACTGAACAACACCCTACTCCTTGATAATCAGGTAAGGGAAGAAATAATGAAAGAAATTAAAAACTTTTTAGAATTTAATGAAAATGATGACACATCATACCAAAATCTATGGGATACAATGAAAGCAGTGCTAAGAGGAATATTCATAGCTCTAAGTGCCTACAAAAAGAAACTGGAGGGAGCATACACTAGCAGCTTGACAATGCACCTGAAAGACCTAAAACAAAAAGAAGCTAATACACCCAAGAGGAGTAGACGGCAGGAAATGATCAAACTCAGGACTCAAATCAACCAAATAGAAAGAAAAAGAACTATCCAAAGAATCAATAAAACCAGGAGCTGGTTCTTTGAGAAAATCAACAAGATAGATAAATCCTTAGCTAGACTAATCAGAGGGCAGAGAGACAGTATCCAAATAAATAAAATCAGAACTGAAAAGGGTGACATAACAACAGAAACTGAGGAAATTAAAAAAATCATCAGATCCTACTACAAAAGCCTATACTCAAAAAAATTGGAAAATTTGGATGAAATGGACAATTTTCTAGACAAATACCAGTTACCAATGTTAAATCAGGACCAGATAAACCATCTAAACAGTCCCAAAACCCCAAAAGAAATAGAAGCAGTCATTAAAAGTCTCCCTACAAAGAAAAGTCCGGGACCAGACGGTTTTAGTGCAGAATTCTATCAGACCTTCAAGGAAGACCTAATTCCAATTCTTTTCAAACTATTCCACAAAATAGAAACAGAAGGTACACTACCCAATTCATTCTACGAAGCCACAATTATGCTCATACGTAAACCACACAAAGACCCAACAAAGAAAGAGAACTTCAGGCCAATCTCCCTTATGAACATTGATGCAAAATTACTCAATAAAATTATAGCGAACCAAATCCAAGAACACATCAAAACAATTATCCATCATGATTAAGTAGGCTTTATCCCAGGAATGCAGGGTTGGTTCAATATTCGGAAATCCATCAATGTAATCCACTATATAAACAAACTCAAAGAAAAAAAACACATGATCATCTCACTAGATGCTGAGAAAGCATTTGACTAAATTCAAGACTCCTTCATGATAAAAGTCTTGGAAAGGTCAGGAATTCAAGGTCCATACCTAAACATAGTAAAAGCAATATACAGCAAACCAGTAGCCAGCATCAAACTAAATGGAGAGAAACTTGAAGCAATCCCACTAAAATCAGGGACTAGGCAAGGCTGCCCACTCTCTCCCTACTTATTTAATATAGTATTGGAAGTCCTAGCCAGAGCAATTAGGCAACACAAGGAGGTCAAAGGGATACAAATAGGAAAGGAAGAAGTCAAAATCTCACTATTTGCAGATGATATGATAGTATACTTAAGTGACCCCAAAACTTCCACCAGAGAACTCCTAAACCTGATAAACAACTTTAGCAAAGTGGCTGGATATAAAATTAACTCAAGCAAATCAGTAGCCTTCCTCTACTCAAAAGATAAACTGGCTGAGAAAGAAATTATGGAAATGACACCCTTCACAATAGTCACAGATAATATAAAATACCTTGGTGTGAACCTAACCAAGCAAGTAAAAGACCTGTATGACAAGAACTTCATGCCCCTGAAGAAAGAAATCGAAGCAGATCTCAGAAGATGGAAAGATCTCCCATGCTCATGGATTGGAAGGATTAATATAGTAAAAATGGCTATTTTGCCAAAAGTCATCTACAGATTTAATGCAATCCCCATCAAAATTCTCACTCAATTCTTCACAGAGATAGAAGAGCAATCTTAAAATTCATTTGGAATAACAAAAAACCCAGGATTGCAAAAACTACTCTCAGCAATAAGAGAACTTCTGGGGGAATCACCATCCCCGACTTCAAGCTGTACTACAAAGTCATAGTGATA